CGCGTTTGTTGCTGTCGAGGATGCGCTGGAGCAGCTCGGTCATGAGGGGCTTCAGGTAGAGCTCGGGGGGCTGCGCGACCACCCAGTGAGCGTAACGGCTCAGGGTCCAGCAGGCGATGGACCTCACCAGGGCCTTCCTGTCCGCCAGGCACCGGATCAGGTGCGGCACCAGCTCGGGCAGGTAGGGCACCATGCCCTGCATGCAGCCTGGGGGGCACAGGGGGGGTCAGGGATACCCACGGAGAGCACCCCGGATCCCCCCTCCCCCAGGTGTTGGGTTTTTTGGGGTCCCCGTGCCCACCTTTGGTGGTGACCCCCAGGCTGCCCCTGGCCCCCCCCAGGAGTGTTTTGGGGGGTCACCTTCAGCAATGACCCCCAGGACTGGGATTCTCTATAACCAGGACCCCTCCCCAGATGTCATTTTGGGGGGTCATCTTCAGCGATGGCCCCCAGGACCAGGATTCCCTATAACCAGGAGCCCCCCCAGGTATCATTTTAGGGGGTCACCTTCACTTTAGCAATGGCCCCCAGGACCAGGATCCCCTATAAGCAGGAGCCCCCAGGTGTCATTTTGGGGGGGTCACCTTCAGCAATGACCCCCAGGACCAGGATTCTCTATAACCAGGACCCCTCCCCAGATGTCATTTTGGGGGGTCACCTTCAGCAATGGCCCCCAGGACCAGGATCCCCTATAACCAGGACCCCCCAGGTATCATTTTGGGGGGTCACCTTCACTTCAGCAACGGCCCCCAGGACCAGGATCCCCCAGGGGCCCCCTTAGGTGTCATTTCAAGGGGATCACCTTCAAGGATGGACCCCAGGACCAGGATCCCCTATAACCAGGAGCCCCCAGGATCCCCTATAACCAGGTGTCATTTTGGGGGGGTCACCTTCGGCGATGGCCCCCAGGACCAGGATCCCCTATAACCAGGAGCCCCCAGGATTCCCTTATAACCAGGTGTCATTTTGGGGGGGTCACCTTCAGCGATGGCCCCCAGGACCAGGATCCCCGACTCCTTGACCACCCACTCGAGGTGGAAGAGCAGCTCCTTGAGCAGGGGCAGCAGGTGGGGCAGCAGCTCCTCGCGGAACACGTTGGCCAGGACGTCCAGGGC